GCTGTTTATCACACAACTACAGTTTGTAATATAATGGATATCATAATTTATGTATTTTCTTTAAAGTCATGGCTATTAAAATAGAACGCTCTCTGCAAAACTTCAGTTTTCATGTATTTTATTTAGATAAAATTTTATGGGTAAAAAGATGAACTTCTAAATGTGATTTAGTATACCTGATACCATACTGCAGTTCTCACGTCTACAAAGCACTAATACTTTCTAAGAATATTCCTTTCACTAATATATATATGTTAAAAAAAAATCCCTCCCCTATCTCCTGTCATTTAAAACATTCAATTTAGGAATGAATATCACTTCTTATTAAAACAAGACCCCAAATTTTAATTTAAAAAAGTCAATACCTCACTGGTTTTTCTTATTTAAATTAATACTCTGAACATATTCAAAAATAAACCCAGTCACTAACATAGTAGATTTTTTTTCCAGCTAAAATTTTGGTTTTGTCCATCAAAAGATATACTTGGATTTTTAATTATCCATATGAGTCAATTATGGGGAAATTAGTCCACAAGCCAGACACAACTAATACCAATTTCAAGCCCACAGAGATCAACACTTTTCTGAGACTATGGGGGAAGACTATACATTTACAAACTTCAGAAGAAAAATAAAATTAAAAAATATCCCCTGCCAAACTATGGATGAAATTTCTCTTACATTTGAAGCAGCTGCAGTGGGATTTTTTTTTTAAATTAATGTATGAAAAATTGATACCAAATATTGTTTCAAACAAATGTGAAACACATGTATTGCTGTATTTAACTTTGGCAATAAAAATTAAGTGAACAAAAGGGAAAAATGTTCCAAGCTGTTGCATTTGGGTAAACAATACCAAATCCAAATGACACACAATCTGAAATTTGTGGTATTCTCCTTACAGAGGGAAAAAATGCAGCTGTTAAGGAGAACATCAGTGTAACACATCATAACACAATTTAAGATCCAAATTAAAAACAAATCATTGCATGCAAGGTCATCCAAACTATACTCGTAACCTGTGTAAAGCCTGTGAGGTTGCCTAAATTCTCATTAAATAAGGATAGGAGAGCTAGAATACATTTAGCTTGGCATATCTCATATACTTCATTTCAGTTACTACTACGATAATCCACAGACTTAATGAATTATTAAAAATAGCCTGGTAAACTCCTTGCCAGTAATTGGGTGATTACATGCCATGTTTATGTAACAACTTTTTCCATGATTACTGAGATTTCATACGTCCTGCACTTAAACTGAAGTCTATCATTAACATAAATGTACACAGTAACAATTAAAATGAAGTTATAAAGGACACTCCATCAAGAACAACATAAATGGACTAGGAAATTCAGCCCACAGCTTTTTACTAAAGCACACCAACTAACTTCATCTGTGAACTGGGATGCTAGCCTTCTCTAAAAAGATAATATAAAATACATATTCTGCATCTGAGGCAGCAATGAATATAAAGTTATGTAGAAATCTGTGGCTGTCTTCCAATGCTCCCCTGAGGATTAATCATTTACAACCATATCTTCATTCAAAATATAGTAATAGTTCAAAGAGCTAGATTTTACACTGAAGCTTAGTCCTAATAAAATTGACAATAACATAACACTTCGGCATAGGGAAAATATTACAGTCTCATTAACATATAATATTAATCTGCAAATGAAAGTAAACCTATTTTTGAGAGTACGTGCTCAAGGGTAATAATGTGAGGAACCTTACAAGTCATAAAGTAAGTGTGACATGTCAGTATTAAATTATGAAGTTTGGCATGCTGTACTAATGGACATAAGGAACTTGGGAAAAGAACACATGCCCTTACTGAAGGACTATCATTGAAAGGCCATCCACAATAGCTGTCAAGTCAGAATGCCTTACTGCCAGCCCACATTTATGGAAGAATGGATATTTACAAAACTGTTAAAGCATATATGGCAGAAACACCAAAGAAAGGGTTTCAGGGATTAAGAACTTAGCTGTGAAAGTTCTGAAAACCAGACGGTGATTTTGAAATATTGCACTGTGATTATCTAACTTAGCACTCCAATTTAGAGAGATGCTAGCACTCAGCATCTTTTGAGGCCAGACTTAAAGATACCCCTCCCTTTAAAGGAGAGATTCAAAGCCACTCTCAACTATTCAATATTTATGGATAATTATTTTTAGCATGTTACTGAAGAAGTTCCACACTGCCACTTTGTCTACCTCTGTGTAAAAGGCCAATTCATCTATTCCCACTGCCATTCTGGGCTAAAGTCTGTCTACATTATTCTCAATCTCCTATGGAAACTCTGCAACTTCCCCAAATGATCTACTCCAGAACTTCATTTTTGCTTGCCATAATTTTTTCCTAAAGTCAAGGCTGACTTATCCTTGTAATTTAAGGCCATTACTTATGGTCCTATCTACCCTGTAGAGGCAACAGATTCCTTGTATCTGTCTTTAGGTATTCAAAGGTAGCTATCATGTTCTTTCCTCCTTCTCCATCTCCTAGTTTTCCCTCTTCCTTTTGATTAAGGCCTTGGGAGGAAAATTATAATCAAACTATTTCATTTTATTTGCTGTAGTGTGACTTCTTGTATAATAAAGATTGAATTGCACCTGGTGATTTTCCTCAAGAGCTTTGCAGTGCAAAGCATTCCCTCCCTTGCTCCCCATCCTTACGTATACCTTTTTGGGATGCACTACAGAATTTGTTTCAAGCATCTAGACAATGCTTCCTCAGCAGTTAACATTTTTACCCTTCCCAAGTTTTGGGTTCTTTTTCCAACGCTTACATGTCATCCTAAAGAACAAATGAAATTTCTATCAGGCAGTAAGAAAGATTCTCATCTCTTTAAAAAGAACCCTGAATAGATTATGTTTAGATGATACATATCCACATGTCTGGCCGCACATATAAAGCAATACATAAGCAATGCAATCTTCTTTTCCTTAATCTGCCCTCTGTCCACGAGACAAACCCTACTGAATGTTTTTCTCACCCAAAAGCTTAGGACAAGAGAGGTGCTTCCCACAGTGACCTGGTGATCAACAACCTGAGCCCCTGGCATAACAAGGGAGGAAACATTTCCTGAGCCGAGCCGCCTGCACAGCTGCTCCATAAGCTACGGAAAAGAACAAATATGAGTCTTTTTAGGGGAAACTAAAGAGTTATATTGGCTTACTCTAAAGGCCAACTTTCAACCAAGGCAAGGAATAACAGAAAGAGTTCAAGACCAATTCAAAGTTTCTTCTCCATTTGTTTTTTTTTAAACACACTATAAAGATTACTGGAACATAGTTTTATACCTGCAAAAACAAGGACACTAATGAATTATTTTCCTTGTCAAACTACCTCCTACAAGGCTCACAGTAATTCATACACCATACAAGTCAGAACTTAGAGCAACACACTGAACAGTAACGTTACAAATGTTGAACACTGCTCTCTGCTGCTGGTGTTGTTTTGGTACCGATGTTGCAGTGGTATGGTAAGCAACAGCAAGGCATTCTTACTGATTAAAACGCTGTGTTTAGTCTGCAGCACAGAGATCAGCCCAAACCCATCCCAACAGTTTTAGAGCATTGTTGGCTTTTTTCAGCGTCTGCTGCTAGACTCTCACCCAGTGAGCCAACTCAACTAACTCTTCGGAGCAAGGCTTACCCACTGGTGGGAGAGGGTTACTCCAGAGTCTTTCTGATCACATCTCTTCCAGGAATCACTAATTCAGCTAATCTGATGGAGGCAATTCAGCAGTTAGCTGCCACACTAACGCTGCACTGCTGAGCAAATCATACTGGGGATCCAACCATCCAGCACCTTCAATCCAAGGCATCTACATGCTGCGGCTACCTTTCATATACTTTTAACCACATCCTTATGACACTCTATTTGTTATCACCTTTTACTGTGCACTTTTTATTAATAACTGTATATGCTAAGCATTTTCTCAAGCTCCAGTTAATCCCAATGCTCCACATTCTGGTGACACTTCATGTGCTTAAATACTGGAACTGAAGACCTTCTCCCTCTTTCCACAGGGTACCACAGATGTCCTCCCACACTTCTGCTAGCATTTATGGTCTACAGACTAACTGCTCATTAGTCTCAAGCACCTCATTATTCGAGTTGCACAGATACAACAATAAATTTAACTTTTTTTTTTGATTCTCAGTATTGCTTTAGCCAATTCAGAGCTACATTTTCAGTTATAAGTACACAAGGTGATAACATATCCTAATGCATAAACCTTACTCTCTTCTACTCTATCTTTAATGCTTTACTGAAATCTGTAACTCTGTTTTATTTCATCACTAACCAGCTTTTCAAAAAAAGAAGTTGGAAAACTGGATTAATCTGTTTCCTGTGCATCCTCAGTTACCATGTGCATGTGGATACTGAATCATTACTTAGGGAATGGAAACACATAATAGCATGCATACTTCTGCAAGCCTATCCAGAGCTTTAAGAATTTGGTAATTTAATAAGCTAGCTACTGAGCAGATACAATATATTTCTTTGTGACCCTGACATTATTTCATGTGTTTTAAATTCTTTAAATGTTGTTAAATATTGGAGGGGGGGAAGGTTTGGAAGAAAATCTTACAGTTTTCAGTAATTTTCAACTTATATAATTTAAGTCTAAATATATTTTTAACATTGTAGCTAGTAATAAAAAAAAAATACACTCCCAGAAAAAAATTATTGAGAACTACTGAGTTTTACTGGATATAACAGCTCCCTGATGACATTAAAATTGCAAACCTTTATACCAGCAACAAATGTAACTTATAGTCTAACTCAGTATTACTGTTTTCTTTAAAAGTCTGAAGCAAACTGAATTATCAAGATCAGTTTCCAACATACTCAGATTCCTGTTACACTAGCACATCATAATACATCAACATTATTTCTGATGAAGTGGAAGAACATTTTTGAGTGAATCTTTACCTCATTTTAGAGGCTGCCTGAAAAGAAAGTAAATACAAAAAATGTGTACTACCTTGTCACTTTACAGCTTGACTCAATCAGCTCATTTTTAACATCCAACAGACTAGAAGGCAGATTGCATTCCAAAGGTGAGGCCAGTCTTTTTAAACGCAGTAAACCAACACAGAACTTGGCTCCCATCTCCTCCAGTTCTCTTGTCCCTATCTGCAACCCCTAAGATTTAAAAAGATAAAATAGGCACATGGACCCCACATGTACTGTAGTATTATTATACAAATTCTGATATCTCTTATTTATTACACTCTTGCTCTAAAGACAGAATAAGTAAGAATTTTAGAATAAATGCTTAGCAAGAGTATTAAAAAAAACCCAGAGAATAACAACTTGATTCCTCTAAGATAGAGCAGACATTTCTGGAGGCTTCAACATTTCTTCTGAGCTTCTTAGTCTACATTTCTAGCATATGAATATTAATAGGACTTACACAGTTGCATTGGAAGAGAGAAATCAGAGATCATGTCTAAGTTTAAAAGTCTAACAATTAAAAAAAAAAGGGAAGGACAAAATTTAAAAGTGGGATTTAATACACTAAGATTTAAAATATAAAATTATTGAACAGAAAACCCTGTCAGAATAAAAAAAGAAAAAAAAAGAGTAACTTCTCATTGTAGGTGTGATCAAGTTCACTGATATGTTTTAAGACATAAATAAGACAATTTAAGACTAAGTTAAGTTTAAGATTAAGTTACTCCTTGACATAAATATCTCTTCCCCTCCTATAAGTTAAAGGCTGTATGTGTTAATTCTGAAAGCATTTATTCACACATTTAGTCACTAAAAAAGACAAACATAAAAATAAAGTATCCCATCCTATAGCTGTTTTCTATCTTCAATGAGATAGCAAGACATTTTCCTCTATATAGTGGATTTAGGAAGTGGAACATATCTATTATTCTCTAAGTTTACAAGTGTGACAAAGACTCCCATCAGATAATTATATACATTTAATTTAATCAGCAGTAGAGTATATAAGGAGAGAACATTTGACCCCATCTCATTTATGAAATGAGAATGATATTCCAGAGTGGCTCCCAACAATTATGTAATTTGCTAGTACTGACTGTATAAACAATGATAAATTCAATATCATAACCCCCCCCACACACACACACACTTCTGGATCTCAGGAGAATTTGAAGGGATTTTAGTTTGTTTCTTCTAAATCTTTTAAAGGAAAAGGGTAGTTAAAAAGGAGCTTTGACAAAACAAGCAGGGAAGCAGAAGAACCAGGAAATGGTGGCAAGCTAAGTCGTCCAGTAAGAAAATACCCAAAGCAAGAAGAATAGGGTAGGCATTTTTTTGCCTACAATACACACAAGCTTTGTATGTTGCCACACTGATGCTGTATGTTAAAATGCAAAGTTCAAAAGAAAGTGCTATGCTGCTCCAAAATGGTACAGTCTGCAGCGTTCTTCATGTGCTCCTGTTTTGCACATATGCAAACATAATAAATGGGAAGTTTGATTTTATTTTTCTTGTGAGTTCTCTTTTTCTCAGCAGTCTTCACAAATAAGGCCCTTTTTAGTAACAAGAAAGCTAAAGTTGCATTCACTAAACAGTGCCATCCCTCCAGCCAAATGATACAGAAACCTCCTAGTAGTGAACAAGAATTGGATATTTGAGTATTATTGTTAATAGGAACACTACTTACCTCTTTTATAGTGCTTTTGTGCTGTAGATTTCAAAGCACTTTATCAATAAAGGAAGAATTATCCTCACTTTAGAAATGCAGGCACAGAGGGTTGAAGTGATTTGCAGTGTCTCACAGCATGTCACTGACCCCGCTGGGAACAGAAATCAGTTCTCCTCACTCTCAGTGCAGTACCTTATCCACAGAGGCCAATTTTTTGTTTTTATTTTGTATTTGTTTGCACGTCAGTAACATTCGAAGACCCCAATCATAGCTGGGGCTCACTACATTAATCACAGGAAGACACAGTCCCTGCCCCAAAAAGATTAAAATAACATTAAGGACAAGAGGCAGCAAGTATGCGGAAGAGGAAGGAGAAGGGTAACAGTAATCTCACTGTTACATAGATTACTAATGTGCATAATTTGATGGTTCAGAAACTTTTCTGATCATTGTCTACATCTGCTGCTGAAAAAGTTATCATTAGTTGGCAGATTCCTTATAGACAGTGTAAGGGTGGCTCTTAAGTAGGAAAAGGACAAAGTACAATATGAAAGAAAGTGCAAAGACAATTGTTAGAAAAATAAATAGCGTGTGCATATTCCATGGCTGCTATTTTCAGCACAGCTGAAAGAGGATATAACTAAAGAGAGACATAACTTGATTGGATGGGAGATGGGTAACTGCAAAATAACTTGAGGGCAAAGTTTGAACTTGCTACACTAAAGGGTCTATATGCTTAGGGTAGAAGACCAAGCCAAAGTCTAGATTTGCTTTTGTCATTTCTTTGAATCGTAATGGAGAATGCCATACCACATGGCTGCCAAATACCAAACTTCTTAATCCATTGTTATTCTTCCATCAACCAAATGTCTTACTTTCCATGAATCAAGGGACCCAAAGTTTGCTTCAGTTAGTGAAACTGCACATTACTATGACTTAGGTGAAGTTCATTTTCACCGATGCCTTCATTATACTTTTCTTGATCTTCTGGATACTTGCAATTGCTATTGTGGCCTATTACAGTTCTTTAAGCATTACAAACTTCGCTTTTAAGCCTAGGCTTAGCTGCCTGGAGGTAACATTTTTTTCAAGCATGTATGGAATTTTTGCTAGCTGAAATTTTGTATTTCATTCCTTTTTCTTCACATTTTATCCAATTAACTTTCTTCCAGGCAATAACATTTTAGAGCAACAGTTGAAGTCTTCCTCACTAAATACAAAATGAAAATGGCTTTATATGAGTAGTTCTTCTTGGCATTGAAATTTGCTACCTAGAAGCAAAAACGCAACACAGGCACGATGGACTGCTACCTCAAGCTGAGAAGAATCTGCCTATAATATGTATTTAACACATTTAAAATGGCCATATTAAGATTTGGAGAAGTCACGCAGACAGTGAAAGATCATCTTGTTCTCCTCCTTTACTATTCAGAAGGGGCAACCATCTTTTGAGAACTCAAAATCTAGAGACTGAATAATCCTCCATAGTAGATTTTTGAATAACTTTTCTCCTGGACATTCACTTTTCCTATCTTGAATCACAGATGACAGGACAATATCTGTGGCACTAATTCTCAACGCACTACAAAAACGCACTACAACGCACTGCAAAAGCAGCTAAAGTGAGATTGCTTCCAGAGATAACTCTGGATCCTAAATTCAGGTAAGAATTACCAACTTGAGTTAAACAGCTTGCTTCCTTCCTGATTCAATGTAGTCTATCACCACCACTGTCTGAGTAAAATAAAATAAAAATAAAAAGCTATATTGATGTTCTGATATTATACACAGCTTTGGCAGAGACTCATCATTTCTATCACAAAGAATAGACTTTTTGAGTAATCCTCTTCATGCTTTGATAGAATTCAGCGATGATGCTAAGTCACAAGAAGATGGGAAAAGCATTTCAGGCCTTTAGGCAACATATACTCCTCTGATCTGAACTATCATGTCATTTGGGGTAGGAAGTATAAGAGGGGGAATTTCTACAGTTTAACCTCCTTCTATGTTTTGGAAAAAAAAATGTATTTTGAAAAACGTCAGCTAGATTATACAAGTTCATTCACATAGTTGCTGACCCCACTCCCTTCCTAAAAAAAAAAAAAAAAAGGCCAAATCTCTTTGACCTTCTCATTGGAGAAATTTTGCTCTTTTCTTGTTCTGTCAAGTGACCTTAGCCTTTCAGATACATTTTCTCAATAAGATGAGAACATTACTATTGTGAAGAAATCATGAAGGTTTTTCCTGCATGTTCAGAGAATGGCTAAGACCTCGCACGCTGTTTGATTCCAAAGAAAATAAATAACAAAACAGCAATTGGACCTTGTCAACTAGTTTACATGAAGTAGGAGAATGCTCTTCCCTTTTAAGCAACTGATTTTTTTTCAACAGAATTCAGCCGTTTCTTCCCCCCTTACTGAAGGCTTGATCATAAGACTTTGCAAGTTAAGCATCTCAATTCACCTTTCTGAAGAATTTTCTGTAGCAACACTGTTAAAGCCATGAAAGTTGAAGTTTGGAAGAATTTTCTGGAAGTTTCAGATTAAGTGAGTTATCATTTTTAAAAGCTCCATAATATCCACAACTGAGGAACAACTGAAATTAAAATGGAATATTCTGGAAGTGACAATAAGGAATGCTTCTGTTGTTAATTGGCAGAATTAATTCACTTAGTAGTTATAGACCTACTAGAATTTCTGCCAAAATATCTGTCTTCCTACTGTCCAGAAAAGTAAATGTGGCTGCTAGAGCACACACTAGTTATATCTTGTTACACTTTTTTTTTTTTTTTCTTCCTTGTCCCAGCCTTCTGGTCCTCTTTTTATTAAGCATCTTATTTGAGGCTTCTGGTCATTTTCTTGTTCAGCATTCCTAAACTTACTTTCAAGCAGAAGAAACTGCTACTTTTTCCATGAATGTTGAAACTTGCTTCAACTTGTAGCTAAATTTGATCCAGTAACAAAAGCTGAAGAAGTATTTTTCCTAGGAAGATTTTCCTTATGAAGTAGGTTTTCCATTAGCAGGAAAAAACAAACAGGGCCACCTTTTGTTTTCAAATATCCAGCCCTACTAACATGCTTTTGAAGAAGGTAACTTGAAAATAAATTCTGAGTCAAGAAGTGAAACAACTATAATGACTTTACTTAGAAATGTACAATTTGTGATGTTGGCAACCTGGTATTAAAAACGTTTTGATTTATAAGCCTGTTTCTGCAACTACACAGGAAAATCTGAAAGGGATGTTACTAAATACTTGTTGAACTGACATAGTGAAGTCTCAAGCTGCCACGTACAAAGGAAACTTTTATTCTAGTACTTCCATATATTACTACCCAATTTTAATAATCCACTGGAAAGAACAGTTCTCTGATTTTTTTTTTAATACATGCATTTACATAAGCAATTACATGTCATAAGCAATCATTAATAGTCATCTTGTTAATACAGCCAAAAAGCATAACACATTATGCAGTTATATTATTCTAAGTGACAGATGAAGACTGTTATGCAACCTATAATATTGCACATAACGTTACTTCTCTATGACACTAGAGTACACAAAGATATTAGGAATTTTAGAAATTAAAGGAAAGCAAGCAAGCTGCATTATAGAATGTGATACCAGTGCAGATGGTAGAAATCATAAAACAAGAACCATTTAACTGATACAGTTTCTTACCTTATATTTGCCCTGGTCACATCCACATAACGTGCTTTCCATTGTGTAGCTCCTTTGTACTCCTATCTCTCTCCAGACAACAACTCGTGCTGTTGATTACTTGGACTTTTCCACCACAAAGCTGCAGCTGCCCATACAGAATGCTGGGGCAGTCTGACTGAGGATCTTAGGGAGTGCCTGCAGGACAGTAATTTGAAAAAGACAGCGATTCTTTTATTTCATTTATGAGAGGAAAAAAAAATATCACAAACTGTTATCAGAAAATTTTGCTCAAGTTTGAATTCAAAGAATAATGAAAACATTTCTTCAGCTGGAGTTTTCAAAAGCCAGTGGGCTCAAGTGACAACAGGTTTGTTGTTTCCTACCTGTTTAAATCCTTTTTTGTATACCCAATTGCTAAAATGAAGCATTAGTCGTGCATAAGAATCAGGATACAAAAGAATTCTTCAAACAATTCCCATCCCCGCCTAATTCATCCAGCTAACTTTGCTCAAATTAAGTATAATACATATCCCATATAATTAAGATAAGTGTAATTCAGATTTCATACTGTTTCAATAATCCAATTTGCAGATCTAATATAGACAATATTTTATTAGTACATAAAATTCATCCTTATTCAGCAGGGCATTAAGCACATACTTAATTTCAAGTAAATTATTCAATTAAAGTTCAATATAAGTGTTCACATGACAGCTTTGGAAAGTGACAAGAACAGTTATGCAAATGCATGTATTATATTACTAATCTTAAATGCCTTCATTTTTGTTCAGCTTTTATTTGTACCAGTTAAGCCAAAACACATGACCACTTTGAATTTACTATTTCAGTAGTACGTGTACCATTGCTAGTGTAGGCTTGCCCAGACATTTCAGTCCCCCTTTTTGAAACAACAAAAAAAGAATTTCCCCCACAACACTTATTGTCTATTGTCTTTTGTATGTTACAATAGTGCAGGTGTAAATGACAAGATCCCATACAAATAAGTAGGGCAACAAGTGATGACATTAGACTCAGTATCCAGGAAATTACACAAGAAACAATCAAATAGCAACAAAATTATTTTAAAAAGTGAGGAAGATTTGAGAAAATTCTGAAAGCATCTATATTCATTTACAGTATTCAGATGCATACCAAACTTTTTAACATGCATTCACATGCTTAATGAGCCTTACTGCATTAAGAGTCTGAGACACTAAGTTGCACAGATTTGCAATTGCCACAAGGCAGCAGTGGAGTTACACAGAAGAAACTAAGAAACTTACAGACAACCAAAAATTCTCTGAATTCTGTTTTATGAATTTTTAAAACAGGATCCTTACACCTCTTTCCATATACAAAAGTGGATGTTTCCCAGAGCAATTCAGTACCTTTTTTTTTTTTTTTTGGTTCTAGAACAGTCTTTGCCATACTTGGATGATTCTTCTTTCTTCCACTAATTATAAATGCACAGAAGTGTATTTCCCCATGTATTCACTATAAGGTAACGTTGAACACAAAAAGCATGCAATGCTACCAAAAAAGATGAATCACTGTACTTAAGAGTAAATTCTTAAGCTGTATTAGAGCAGTGTTTAAAACTCTCAAAAGATTTTGAAATACATCCATGAACTTAAGAGAGATCATTCTAAATAAGCCTAGTTATGCTGTAAAGCCCCATATGTACATAGAATAAATATATTCCAAATTCATGCCAAAAGTCAAAGCTATGAATGTCAAACTTACCCTGTAACCAGGGTCTTCAATCAGGTCACAAGAGGTAGCACTAACATTAGTGTGCCACATTGTCTCTTTGATGCTGCAGCCATACATAAATACATTCTTTTTACGAGAATGACCATGATAATCACAGTAGACCTACGATAAATCATTTGACAAAATAAAGCCAAGGCGTATCAACTTAATATTAAACATTAAAAACAATTCTTATTTCTCATTCTATTACATTTATATTTGCATTGTTAAAAGTTCCAAAGAATTAGGAAATACTACTTATACGATCAACTCACACATTAAGAAGAAAACATAGGATTTTTTCTCAGTAAGGTTTAACCTTCTACCCTAGCAACAGAAAAAGATTTAGTTTAAAAGTTTGCAGAAGACCAGCTCTCCAAGTCACATTTATAAGTGTGATACAGTTATACAGTTTACAAGAACCTATTAAGAAGTTTACTTTACAGACTAGCTACACAGATAAAAAGATTCAGAATTGCTTACACATACATACTCATCAGCGGTAAATGTTTTATAGAAGCCAGATATTGCAGTAAGCCTTTGGCATGGTAAATTGTGGGATGCAGATTTGGATTTGGATTTTGCCACTGTCTGTTTAAATCCTCTCCACTTAAAGAGCAACGGTGGCTATTGGGGGGGAAAGGAAAAAATTTATGAAGAAACGTTTGCACCATCATCATAGTTTTGAAAAAGCTTCCCTCCCTAATTCAAGTTTTCTTTGTCACCACTGCTTCTTTGGAAGAGTCCAATGAACTTGTTTAGCTTTTTTTTTTTAAAGCAGCTGTGTTCTCATATAACAATCTATACCTGCCCAAGACTGCAGTTCAGAGAGTCAATTAAAGTGCAATCTCAAATCACAGGGTAATGATTATCACCCTTAAACAACTGAAAATGTTTTTACAACGTTAATTCATGGAACAATATATCTGCCTTTAAAAAGACAAAAAAAAAAAAAAACCCTGAGAAAGTAAATCCTAGCAGTTTTGTAAGACATTTGTTTATATTTAGTTGAGTATTGCACTTGTATGTTTTTAGGATTAGTTTTAGTTTAGATTTTTTTTTTTTTTTAAAACAACAGACACACAGATTTAATATTAACAGGTTACACATTTGTGAGTAAACTTAAGCTTACTTTCCATTGATGACACCATCTGGATTGAGCATGGGAATAATTTTGAAAATATAAGATTCTCGTAAACTTTGGGCACTTGGATTATTGCTCATAAGATAGTCCAGCGTTCCCTTCATAACCCAGGGGGGGGGGGTCAGTGCATTCACATAAATGCAGCATTCTTGATAGAACTCGCCAGAATATTTTTTATAAGGACTGCTAACTACACAAGCATCTCAATGGAATTTTAAATTCAATCTGAGACAATTACATGGCTGCAACCAGCTCAAGCTGGCGATTACTATGCGATATACTTTTATGGTTCTTTTTCAATAGACTAGAAAAACATTGGGGGGAGCTGGGGGGGCACCATGAATTCTCTCACAACAAAAGCACACTTCAAATCCCAGTAGCTGAGACATTCTCTCTATGAAAGATTTTTTGACAAGCTGATTTCCTGAGCTTTTGGGGAGAAAAGTTACTCAAAGGTCATTTTTTTCCCCCTCTAAGAGGCATTATCAGCAAAACGTAACATACAGAAATATCTGGCAACTGATTTGATTCAGATTAAGAATTTTTCATAAAGAGCTGGTTTTGCATTATTTTCTGTTGATGAGAAAGAGAAGTCATACTTACTGAACTGACAGGTATGTTCGTAGGTATTTGACTCTGGCATGGCTGTAATAGTGACTAACGGACAACTGTTGCCAGCCAGGGTCTCACAGAGAGCATCTTGCCGAAAATATATCTGTTGAGTGTTATGCATGGATTCCAATTTCTGTAGATGCATCTTCATTCCAAAAATAATGAAGAGATACTTCAAATCTTTTGCAATCATGTATGACAGTGTATTCTACAGGTATTATTTATTCCATCTTTCTTTTTGTTGTTCTGAATAATGCTAGTTTCCTTCATAATTTTGACCTTGAAATATCATTCTCTGCATCTCTAGCCAACTGAATTCTTATCTTTATATGTTTTTACAACTGCTCCAAGAAAGATGAAAAGTGCAAAGATAAGAGTTTCTTCATTTTCTACTAGATGATACTTCTTCCAAGAGTTTAGTAAATTAGTAAAGTGCTTAGTGAATAGCTTCATTCAACACTGGTATACACTAACCACTGAATCCCCAAGTATGCTTTTGTTACTATGACAGAAATAATCGCCAAAAATTCTAGCTACATGTTTTCCTTAGTACTAAAAGCTTCACAACACTCTTTTCAGCTAATTCATTATCCTAAAAATGCCTGTCTCTCTAATTATCTTAAATATAATAGCTTGGATAGGTCAGTTATGAACAGGTATATGTAAATCAGCAGGATAAGAGTCATTTGATTCATGTAAAAATACTTCATTCAATTCCCACAGAATTTTCCAATCAATTATGAATATGTTTGTGATTCCTAAAAACACCAGATATACCATTTAGCTTGAAAATAAGTATTATTTTATTTCCCAGGAACTGTTCTTTAGTACAAGCCACACCCTTCGCCGTTCTACACCAAGATTTTATGAAAAATTCTCCATTTTAAGAAGCATTTTGAACTTCATTAAAAAAAAAGGTAAACAGAATTCACTCATGAATGCTTATCATTTTACGTATCACAAGTTCTTCAAAAGTATAAATCATTATCTCTGTAACGGATCATAATCTTCTCACCTTTAAGGTTGAGTATGTATATGGATAACGGTAAGCAAAGTAGCAGACATCGTCCTTATGTTGGAAAGTCACCGTGAATGTAATTGTGTAATAAGATTTTCCTTTTTGCCCCCCAGCAGCAATCGAACTTCTTGAAAAATGATTCCTAAGAGTAAAACAAAGATAATAAAACACGTTCAATTAATTTATTTTTTGTATTATAGATTATTCCTGAACATACGTTTTAAGAGCCAGGAAGATTTTTAGTGATTGTATTTCTCTTCTGTGTGCACGCAGGTTAAATACTAAATCCACTGGTTCCCACCATCTGTAAAGAAACTTTATGATAGCAGTGATATACATCCATTATGGGAAGAGGTGAGTAAAAGAAAAAAAATGAAGCAAACAACTGTTGATCAAGAAAGGTAACAAATGGAAGGGTAACTTCTCATCCTATGTTCTAGGATTGCTTTAAAATGATTGTACCATAGGGTACAAAAGACTAATCACACTTGATCAGTATTACTGCATGTCACCAATAACATTTTAAGTAAGTGTGCACATATATGTTCCATTAAATGTTTCTGTAGAATAGAATGCAATTTCTCACCAAAATGAGTATACAGGTAAACTACTTAAATGCTAGCAGAATGCTAACAAAATAAGACTATGTATTTTGGTCACTTCTGTTATTTTTCCATAGTAACTAGGGAGTAGTAATTAAAGAGGAAAACTGCGTTCACAACAGAACTATTAAAAGATTATTATTAAAGCACAAAAGCAAACATTTTGCTTTGTCAGCAAACATTCTATTTCATGTTCATCTTCAATACAAGATTTTTCACTATATTTGGTTAGTGTACTTACTTGTAGTAACAAATATCTGTCCCAACACGGTCTAGAATTTAACGCTTCCTGAACAGAATACATGAGGGGTTGCATACCTTTAAGAAAAAAAATATTTCATTTCAATGCAAAGTTAGCACTCTTTAACATCAAGATATTATCAGTAATGGACCAGACAAACATTTGTATGTGATTCTCCAAACTAGCTATACTCTTTTACTTACTATCATAAAATATATTTTCATGGAAGTCTGGATATTATATGTGCTTTCATTCAACTGACAGAAGATTATCTTCCCCTCCAAAAACACATACTAATTAAAAAAACAAACAAACAAACCAAAAACAAAACACTGACCTGCAGAGACCAAAACTATTTTAAATGAAAGCTATAGTTAGCATGGATGTGAAACTACAAGGATCTTGGGTTCCACTCCATCCAACTCATTATTACAAAAAGGCTTCAAAGAGAGTACAAAAAATTGTGACTATTATCGATTTACCTGGATAGCTGGAAAATAACTGATGTTTCAGGACAATAACACTGTCTTTTTAACAGAACTTTCCTGGTAAATTAGTTAAGAGATTATTTTCTCGTTAGACCATGTGAAATTGTCATAAAAGTGCAAGTATTTTAAGCAAATGTTTTTATATGCCCTATTTTTCGGCAACTTTTTAAATGTTTATATTCTAATCAAGAGTTGAACACTTAATATCAGTTTAGAGTAGAAAGTGATGCACATTCATTCTGTATTATTTACTACTTATATAATTAGTCAAATACAAATACTGAGTCAGTCAATTTATTTAATAAGAAGCCAAAGTAACTACCAAATAAGCGTATGCAACATATAAAGATCTAAGGTGACTGATGAAGATTAATAAGTAATTTAAAAGCAACTTACTACTGGTCAAACTATCTGGATATTCTTCTTAAATTCTATCAGTGTCAATTGTACAATTATGACAAAGAAGAATATGATGTTACTCTGTCCCAAGAGTTTGAGGATGGGGGGAAGGAGGCTTCTCCTCCTTCTTAAAGGACTAAGAGGGAAATTTGCACAAAATCTAGTGGCAAAAACTCACAACAGAGGTGTGTTTAAGCTGAACGACCTCCCCTCCTTGGACAAACAGAAGAAAAGCTTATGATGTGAGGCAGTACTTTTGGACAAGGCATGAGCAGCAAATGCTACGAGTTAGAAACCACAGGGGTCACACGTGAAGCCCAACACTTCAACGGAGAATCCAAAGAGCTCATCTTTTCCTCTCACAAACACAGTCCCACCCTATCAACAAGACAAAACTCTCTGAAACTATCTCCACTTATTTTCACTTCTGAAAACACATCTCAGTATTCAGGAAGGCACTTAATGACACTGGTTCTCATTCCTCTTGCACCTGTGTTGATCGACAGGGTTCGGTGTCCCCCACCCCAAATGGTCTTAAGACAATTTTAGCTGCAGCTGCCAGTAACACTCATCTGTTTTGGCTTCAATTACAACAATACTTCATTTTAAAAACTGATAGCCAGTGTTTTGAAATAATTTTTTTTCTTTTTAAACTGAAATCTGTCACAACATTTTCCAGTGAGATCATTAAAAAACAAAACAAAAAACACACTGATCTGTAAGACAACATAATATATTGCTGATCCTTGGTGGGGACGACACACAGCTGAGCTGTCCAGTACAGATATTTTACTACATATTTCTTCTCAAAGAATGGGAAACATCTTACCGTAGTTAAACTGACTGTTTGACTTTTCATAGTTGATGATGTTAAACCGATAACCAACACCAGTTTTCATTCCACTGACTTCAAAGTAAAACCACTGATGATAATGATTGCTATTTATATCTGAGTTCAGAATTAGATCATACTCGTTTCTAAAGATTAACAAAAACAAATAAATCTTTTTTAAAAAAACAGAAACGAAAGGTCTCACATGTAAAACAAAAAGTTGAAATATCTTACTTTCTGATCTGAATAACTTTGCGCAGGTTTCCAGATTCAAATTTGGAATTAAACTTCAAAACATCTGCTTCCTCAGCTACTGAAGATCTAAGGGGAAAAAAAGGGGACTAGGATGACCAAAAGAAACTCATGAAGTTTGCTTCAGCCCTCATTTGGTAATTGAAAAATTATTTTGAACCTGCCCATAAATTCAGCCTGAATAGCAGAAACAATGTTACATTAGAAGAAAGTTCTAGTGAAATCTGAAATTATAGTACTGTCTTAAAAATTACAAATGATATCATAGACAAAGTAGAATAGACTTAGGCTATTCATTCAGTATTGTTTTCTGAAGGGTAAAAGCTTACCTGGAATTATCAAGGTCATATACAACTCGATCTATAATGTCATCTTGATGAATCAGTCTTTCAATATCTTGAGAGATTTTTGTCCTATAATAAAAATAAGAGTCCCCACAAACTGGGGTATACTGTTTCCAATTATAAAAGAGAAATAACAATGAAAACTAACAAAATTAACATGAAGACAGTGGGACGGATTTTCAGAGAGACTTCAGCCTCGTTCCCGCTTATGTGTACAAACTGTAAGTGTACTTATTAAGTTTAAACACCTGCATTCATAGCTGACTGATTCCAATATTTGTATGTGTGGGAACTGAGTTTTCATGCACAAAACCCACTGGGTTTTATCTTACAAAATAAATGCACCATTTCATAATTTGTACTAGCAGCAGG